TCTAAGGTGTTGATTTGGTGATTTCAGTCATCATACAGTAAACATTCGCCATCTTCTCTTCAGTGATTTGGCCCAACAACCCATCTGAGACAGAATTCTGATGGAGAGGGTTGGGTCGAATTAAAACAGATTTTCATTTCTAGTTTTTTGTAAACCTTTTTGTGTTTTATAGCTGTGCTACAAAACAAGCTAAAATGAATTATTTTACCAAATATTGTAAATGAATCGGATGTTTTTTTAATGTAAATATTGTCATCTCACAGTTCAGCAAGCAATTCAAGGCAACAACTAGTGTGATTCTGTTATAAATTAGATTGTTTTGTTTTTACTGTAATAGATTTATTAGAAAATGCTACAAAAATACTGTATTAGTTTATATAAAGCAATGTTTTCTTGACATTTTTTAAACAAGTCCAAAGACATGCGATATAGGTGAATTGGGGTGCCTAAATTGTCCGTAGTGTATGAATGTGAATGAATGGGATGTTTCCCAGAAATGGGTTGTAGCTGGAAGGGCATCTGCTGCCTATAACATTTGCTGGATAAGTTGATGGTTCATTCCGCTGTGGCGACAGATAATAAAGGGACTAACCTGAAAATAAAATGTATAAATGAATGAATGAATATATGCCTTTTAAGTTGATCAAAATGGCATGCTAGGCATACAGTAATCTGTCTTATTTTTGAATTCCGATTAGACCAATCAACACTGTAAATAATGCAGGGTCCCACCTAATACAAGTGACTTACAAGTGAACATAAAACAAATAAGTCATTCTAAAAAACTCAAGATTTGTGTTATTTCAGCTCATTTTAAATAAGTACTTTGAAAGTGCAAAATCTCAATATTTTTGAGTATACAATTTTTGAACAATTGACTTTAAAAACATTTGACCAGTTATAACAAACAAACAAACTTTATTTTGATGGTCTGTTACATTGGAACATGTCAACTAATTCTCATTAGATTATAAGGAGACTGTTAGGTTGGAGTTAGGGTTAGTGTAAGTTGGACTGTACTTGCAAA